AAAACTATACAACTGTTCCCAACTTCAATAGAGGGCTATCAACACCAGTTATCAAGAACTCAGTAACAGCTGTTAGAAATCATTGATCTACTGTGGCAAAGACTTTGAGATCCAGATATTTGAAAAAAAGAAGCAGGAAGAGGAGGGGGAGGAAGAGCAGGAGGAGGAAGAGGGAAAAAGAAGAGGGAGAAGAAAAACTGGGAGGAGAGAGAAAAATGTTTAAAAGAGAGAGAAAGAAATATATAGATCTATATTCCAGCTTAATAAGATTGTTAGATTTCTTAAAGTAATTTAATAGCAAAAATAACTACTTTAAAGACAAATTTAAAGTTTCTCTGACTTGTGACAAGAACTCTAATTAATTTGTATATGTAATTTACTCCGCTATGGCAAAAGAAAGTCCCCTGCCAAAGACTGTTTGGGAGAATATATCTTTCAAAAATCATGACTTCTCAGGCTAAGGCATATGAGACTGAAGGAAAGTAGCTTCCTATGGACATGTTGGAAATGGAGGGATTTGCCTAACTCTACAAATGTGTAGCCAGAGCCTCAGGGCCCAAGGACCTTCGCAAAAAAATCTCTCTCCCAAGAAAGGTGATGCAGTCTCTCTCCCAGAGTTCATTATGGATTTTGGATCATTCTAATCATTGCAGAGACTTCCAGATTTTAGTTTCTCAGAAGGTATCCTGTTTCGAATCAGAAACTTGACACCAGATTCTGTATTCCGTGGTCCTAGATCATGCCTGGCAAAATGGGCTTTCAAACACATTTTAGAGTTCGATATTCAAGATTCAACTTCAGCATTCACCGTGGCTGATGTATACCTCAGGCTTTGAGTAATTTCATACAGGTTACAAAAGCTCTGAGTTTTGTTTTGTTTTGTTATTTTAATATATCTTTATTGATTTCAGAGAAAGGAAGGGAGAGGGAGAGAGAGACAGAAACATCAGAGTCATTGATCGGCTGCCTCCTGCACGCCCCCTGCTGGAGATCGAGCCTGCAACCCAGGCATGTGCCTTGACCAGGAACTGAACCCTGATCTCCTGGATCCTAGGTCAATGCTCACCCGCTGAGCCACGCCCGGCCAGGCAAGCTTTGAGTTTTATGAACAGATACAATTTCTTCCTGTTGTTCATGATTTGTCCTTTCTTCATTCCTTGAATATTCATTCTTTCACTGATTGTTAACCCCCTTCTCCTTGATTTATCTTCTCTTCTACTTAGTTAACTCTGTGAAAAAGTTTTATCACTTTGGCAAAAAGAGATATTAATATCTCTTTTCTACCTGATTGACTCATTTATTTATGCATTAATGAAAAAATCATTAACCTTCAATAATGTGCTAAATGTTATTTCAACTTTTCAAATTTATATATAGAAACTATTTTTCTACCATACACCCCCTACACAAAATGTCTTTTTTTTAAATGTTATTTTATCTCAGGTCCACAGTATTGAATTGATTATAACCCTTAACTCAAAACATACTCTCACTATTTTTTCATCCCCACTTTGTGTTTATTAATTTACTAATAAATTTATACCTATGAAAACATGACCTAATACAAGATCTAAACAATTGATAATAGCATACAACTGCTCATGTGTTCATACTCATGCTGACCCTTGGCCTTCCCACCCTTGATGTTACTTACATTTTAACATCTTTCCTTTTTGTACATAGTTTTACCATTTATACAAGTTCCTGCAAAGTATACTGCTAGTTTTCTATTGTTTTTCACCTTATAAAAATTAAGCTGAATGGATCCACTTTAGACTTTTTTCCATTTATTATTCTATCTTACTAAGATAGATTTATCTCATTATATATAGTTATACTTAATTTGTCACAGTTTTCAATAATATTACATTGTCCCATTTATGGGCATTATTATAAATTTTTCCTTATATACACATATGCAAGAGTTTATCTTGGGTATTTAAATGAAGTGAAATTGCTGGGCCATAGAATGTGAGAATGTTGAACTTTACAAGATAAGGTCAATTTTTCCCCAAAGTGATTATATCAGTATACCCTTCCTTTAGCAAAATATAAGAAATTCTCTTCTCTTGATTCACATACTGTTTACTCAAAAAATCTAATTTCATGTTTTTTCTTCAGATGCATTTAGAACAAACTGGACTAAATGGAAGAAGTTAACCAGTCTGCGGTGTCAGAATTTATTATCCTTGGGCTTTGTAATTCATGGGAGCTCCAGGCCTTCCTCCTGGTAATATTTTCTTCACTTTATTTGATCACCATTTTAGGCAACATCTTCATTGTGCTCCTAATCATCACTGACCTTCATCTCCACTCCCCTATGTACTTCCTGTTAGCCAATCTTTCATTCATTGACTTCTGCCTTTCCTCAGTCACTACTCCTAAAATGATCACAGACTTTCTCAAGGCAAAGAAGACAATCTCTTTTGGAGGCTGCATGTGTCAGATTTTCTTTGGACATTTCTTTGGAGGGAGTGAGATGATGCTGCTTGTGTCTATGGCCTACGACCGTTATGTGGCCATCTGTAAGCCACTTCATTACTCCAACATCATGAACAAACGAATGTGCATCGTGTTAGTAATGACATCATGGATCATTGGCTTTGTGCATTCAATAAGCCAACTAGCTATGATTATAAAGCTCCCCTTCTGTGGACCCAGGGAACTGGATAGCTTTTTCTGTGATATTCCATTGGTGATAAAGCTAGCCTGCATGGATACCTATATTCTTGAAATGTTGATAAATGCTGACAGTGGGGTACTGGCAACCATCTGCTTCATACAGTTGCTGATATCTTACTCTCATATTCTATTTACTGTCTGCCTTCACTTTAAGGACAGGGCATCCAAGGCTCTCTCCACCTGCACTGCCCATATCACAGTAGTGGTGCTGTTCTTTGGGCCTTGCATCTTCATCTATCTGTGGCCACTCAGCATCACCTGGGTGGACAAGTTTCTTGCTGTATTTTATGCGGTCATTACACCTCTCCTAAATCCAGCCATTTACACTATTAGAAACAAAGAGATTAAAAATGCCATTAAGAGACTACGATGTTAGCATATGGATTTCTCTGGGTATTTTAGATTCCTATATTATCACAAGGTTCACTGTAAGCTCCCTAAATTAGTCACACCTGTCCTGTTACTTGGGACTGGGAAGCATTCCCCAATTCACATATGGAAATCATATGTATATCTAAATGTAAGTTTTATGTCAATTCTCTTACAGTCTACAATCATTTTTTTTAAAAAATATATCTTTATTGATCTCAGAAAGAGGAAAGGAGAGGGAGAGAGAGATAGAAGCATCAATAATGAGAGAGTCACTGATCGGCTGCCTCCTGCATGTCCCTGACTGGGGATCGAGCCCTCAACCCGGGCATGTGCCCTGACTGGGAATCGAACCCCGATCTCCTGGATCCTAGGTCAACACTCAACCGCTGAGCCACGCCCGGCCGGGCTACAATCAGTTATTGATCATTGAATGCAAAATGATTTGGGAAATTTGGCCCTTTTTTATAACTATGAATTTGATCGTAGCCAAGGATGAATTGAAATTAATAACAATGTTAATGTTACCTATTACTATTAGTGCTGCTTCTTCAACACTCACCACCACATCTTGAAATTATTATGCTAAGCATTTTCTTGAGCAAGGAATTTTGTATAGATCTCTAAATTTTTGTCAATATGTCAGTGCACTGAATATTGCTATCTTTATTTTTAATGGATAAATTTGTTTCTCAATTAGTTAATATTTTAGCTACCTATCTATCTGAAAACAGTATAAAGGTAATCATTATTCATTTTCCATCACACTCAGAAAATATCTGAATCATAACTATGATCTGGAGAGAATGTTGTTCCCTCAACTTCATGTTTCAGTCATTTGTGAAAGGCATGCAATTATCTTTAGAAAATATACATTAAATACAACAATAGATGTACTAACAACCTTTGGGGATTTTGCTGCTTCTCTTTCTATCTATAAATGGACAAAGGGAGTTATTATCTACACCAATAAAAGCAGGGGAAAAGTGTTATAAAAGTGAGGCCAAAAAAATCTAATTTTAGAATAAACTATTCATTTAATTCACTGCAGTGTTCAGGTGGCCTGCAAGCAACTAGATTGTATACAATATTTGTGAATTGTTCATTACTGCATATGACAAAACTTTTAAGAATCCTTCCTACATTATGCCTCAAAAAGATATACAAATTTACATCCCCTCATTTGAAATCCATGGAGCTATATGTACTTCAAATTTCATATTGCCTTTTAGAGATAACATGGTCCTATTAACTTTGATAGAGTGTGAGACATAGACCCTTAAAAAAAAAAATTACTATTTCTGTATATATATGTGTATATATATTTATCTGTTCTGATTTTTAAATTTTTCTAATTTCTCTACATCAGTTTGGATAATATCTATTAACTTGTCTTTGAATCTATTTATTTTCTTCTGCTGTGTCCAGTCTGTTTTTAAGCTTACTCAAATTCATAATTTATATGTTTCTTTTTTAGTTATAAAATATCACCTGATCTTTTCTTAAAACCTCTCATACACATTTTTTTGTCTTTTGGAAAAAAATATAAATTTGATTATTCATATCCTGGGTTTAAATTGAAGGAGAGTTGCATTTTTCATAGTTTGCTCAAAAGTTTGAGTGTATTAGCTCTAAGTTAATTCACTTGAATCCAGACAGGCTGATGTCTGAGGTTAAACTTTCCAAAGATTCTGAGTCTGTAATCTATGCTTTTTCAACAACTTCCCATAAACATTTTCTGGGACATTAATTCAGTTGTCAAACAGCTTGTTTAAAAAAGGGTTAATGTGATAATTCAATGTAACCTCATAATAAATTATCTATTTTAAATATTATAAAGTGGTGCCTTTAGAAAAAAACAGCCCCAAATTTTATATAATTATTTAAGCATTTGCATTGCTTGAAGTTGCTTGAAAATTTACTCTGTAATTTGTGCTCTTGTGAGTTATTTAAGAGATCTTCCTCAAACTCAGGAGTTGACTACTCAGTCTTCTCATTGCCATCTTCATATCTTTGTTCCTCAATGTGTACATAATAGGATTCAGAATGGGTGTAATCAAAAACTCCAAAATGGCCAGAAACTTATCCACTGGCACTGTGGGAAACGGCCACATGTAAATAAAGATGCATGGTCCAAAGAACAAAACCACCACAGTGATGTGAGCCGAGAGAGTAGAAAGAGCCTTAGACATACCACTTGAAGAGTGTTTCCATACAGTGACCAGGATGAAGATATAGGAGACAATCAACAAGAATAAGGTGGCCACGGAAATTAACCCACTGTTGGCAGTTACCATGAATTCCATTCTGTAGGTGTCTGTGCAAGCAAGTTTGATAAACCAAGGAAGGTCACAGTAAAAGCTATCTATCTCATTAGGACCACAAAAAGGCAAATAAACAACAAAAGCTAACTGGGCTACTGAGTGAATGAGGCCTATAACCCAAGCACCAGAAAGAAGAAAAATGCACTTTTGTGGGCTCATGACAGTCAGATAGTGGAGGGGCTTACATATGGCCACATATCGGTCTAAGGCCATGACAATAAGCAGCACCATCTCAGATCCCCCCAGGATGTGAAGGACAAACATCTGGATGACACATCCCTGGAAGGATATGGTTTTGTGCCCAGAGTACAAGTCAGATATCATCTTGGGAACCGTTAAAGTAGAAAGACAGAAATCAATAAATGAGAGGTTGGCTAAAAGGATGTACATGGGGGAATGTAAATGAGGGTCGAAAGCCACTATAAACACAACAAGGAAGTTTCCTAGAACGATTGTTACATAAAGCACTGTAGAGAAGGCTAGGAGGAGATGCTGCACTGGTCTATAGGTAGAAAGTCCCAGGAACACAAATTGAGACACTTCAGAATAATTTGCTCTGTTCATTGACTTTGTGTTACCTGAAAAACACACACACACCAAATAAAAATAATTATAAAGGAATGCACCACAGCTATTGAAAGAAACAGTTGTTACTAAGTTTTAAATTCTGATATTAAAGAAAAATCTTAACTCCTGGCCACAAAAATCCTTTGAAGAGTCATACAACAGTTTATTCATTTAACAAGTATTCATTGAGCAGCTACCAGGAAGGCCTCCTAGGTACATGCATTGTGCCACATTCTGGAATAAAACATACATCTTGTCTCTATGTAGTCTGTAGTCTAGTTGTGAAGCTAGGCATTAAATAACTAATTGTCTAACTAGGTGATTATAACTTATTTGAAAAAAAAAGACAAAGGGCTATGCAAACTGTACGAGCTCATAGAAGTGTCATCTACTCCAGTCTGGAAGAAGGCGCTTGTGCTAAAATCTACATAGGAGCTAAATAAGTAGAGAAAGATAGGAAGCATGATCTATGCAGGGGAAAGGCATGGGAAATATTCTGAAGCATGAAGACACAGATCAATTTGGAATAAATAAAAGAAGACCTGTAAGGGTCTGATCAAGGTAGAATCATATAGGGTATATAAAGAATTTGGTCCATATCTTAGAAGTGATAGAAAACCATTGAGGCAGAATAATGAAATAATGTTAGTGCTTTAAAAAGTTTTCAGTAACTGCAAAGTGAAGAATGTAATAGAGGGATCCAGAGGAAAGGGAAAGGGGCCAATTAGGAGCCTGTCAAAGGATAATATTAAATCAGTACAGAAAGAATGACTTTGTCAATAAATGGCGGTGACACAATTTACTGAAGTTGGTAAAAATAAGTTGAATTCCATACTTTACAACAGTAACTAAAATGAATTTTTAAATAAAAATAAAAGAAATAGAAAATATGGGCTTATTTTTAGGTAATCCTTTGTATGAGAAGATTCTTTCTAAGCATATCCTAACGTGCAAATCGTGCAGAAAAAAACTGACATTTTCAGATTCAAAATTTAAATCTTCTATATAAATTTTAGAAGAAAAAAACAAATGTACGAAAATAGTTGTTAAATATAATGATAAACCAAATTTAAAATGAACAAATATAAAGACTTGGACCAAATATGAACTCTAAATAGTTAACATATGAAAAGCAGTCACATTCACTATTAAAGAAATGTAAATAAAACTATAAAATTATTATTAAATTTGTTTAAAAAAAGAGTTAAAAATTAATAATATGTGTGAGGCTGTGAGGAAAGACACTCTCTCAAACTCTATGACTCAGAGTACACATTCATACACCTTCTCCAGAACGCAATTTTAAAATATATATTAAATATTTAAAACTTCCCTTATGACTAAAGACTCCCATTACAGTACATTTTTCTTTTTTTTTAATCTCACCTGAGGATATTTTTTCCATTGCTTTTCACAGAGAGTGGAAGGGAGAGAGAGAGAGAGAAACATCAATGTGAGAGAGACACATTGATTGGTTGCCTCCTACATGTGTCCCAACAAGGGCCGGTATCAAGCCTACAACCCAGGTTTGTGCCCTTGGCCAGAAATGACCTAGGATCCTTCAGTCTGAGGCCCAACATTCTAACCACTGAGCCAAACCAGCTAAGGCACAATAAGTTTTTATTAAGATATAACAACAAATGAGTTAAAATATTTATCAATTATGGCAAATGTTATACAATTATTTATAAAATAGGAAAAATATTGAAAATAACAAATCAAATCAATGAGGAATTGTTACACTACAATAATACATTCAACTGGGAAAGGCACTTAACCTTGTATGTAGGAAAATATCATTTAAAAGTTTACAATAAATCTTTAATTAAAAAAAAAAATAGCTTGAGCCTGGCCCACACGGCTCAGTGGTTGAGCATCAACCCATAATCCAGGAGATGGAGGTTTAATTCCCAGACACAGCACATGCCTGGGTTGTGGGGTTGATCCTCAATAGGGGGCACGCAGGAGGCAGCCAATCAGTGGCTCTCTCATCACTGATGTTTTTCTCTCTCTCTCTCTTCCGTTCTCTCTCTGAAATCAATAAAGACGTATTAAAAAAAAAAAATAGCTTGTAAAATAAAATGTATAAAAAACACATTTTTAAAAATTTAAGTCTAGAAAATAGAAATTAAAGATAATCAACAGATTGTTGATCTCTGGGTGTATATATATTTATTAGCTTGCACTATATGAAATTGGTATTTCAGTAGATAAAAAAATAGTCAAATATCAATTTCACAAGTTATAACTAATATATTAAACTTATTTTTTTCCTTACAAGATTTTCTAAGCAACTATCCTTTTCCACAGTCAAACATTATTGATGTTTATTCCACACCTAAATTGAATACTATATGGGTTTCCCGCTGTTCCCCACTTGCACTGTCACCACCAAGTTTTCCTCCAGGCCACGCAACACTAACAACCACTCTTTCTCATGTCATCACTTCTCCCTGTGCTGCTCCACATCATGCCCAGGCTTCAGCTTGGACACAACGTGCACCACATTGGCAGAAAATTAGCATAAGCAAGTGGGAACACCATGGAATAGGCTGAGGGCATCCAGGCCAGGCAGAAATAGGCATCCCGAGGGTTATGGCTGTGGAGCAGGTATTATAGCCCAAAGGAAACACTATGGGGGTGATGCTAGGAGGCCCTGCGACAAAGCACTGGATGGAGAATGTTATAGTGAATAGCTGGGGAAAATAGAGCAGAATTGAACCAGAGAGAATGGGACAATCAATGAGATGAATGATAGTGGTTATGACTTTAGAACTGCCAGCTGTTTTTATATTTTGACCATGTAATGCATGAATAGTAAAAGATGCATATTCTGAAATGTAGAATGTACATTCAACATGATCACAATTATGAAAGATAAAGAAAGAATAATACAATAAAAGGAAATTTTCCATTATTTTCTCTGAGTAATGAAAATAAATGGGTGATTTTGTTGCTTCTCCTTTTATTTATTTTTCAAAATTCAGGATTTCTTAATTTAATATCAATTGACTTCAGTTGATAGAGTTCACTGGGAGAAAAATAGGTAATATTGTCATCAAGTAAGACTATAGATGATTTACGCCAACATATGTTAGTGTACTAATTCCAAAATCGGGACTTCAATTAAAAATAAAAATAAAAATACACAAACAAATAACAGACAATTGAAAAAATGCAAATGGCAAACTCATCTAAGGACATTCAACTTCACCAATCATCAAGAAAATGCAATTTTATCCTGGCTCTGCTGCTCAGTTGTTTGGAGCATCATCGCATAAACCAAAAGATTGCATATATCTAGGCTGTGGGTTCATCCTCAATGGATGTTTCTCTCTCATACCTATGTTTCTCTCTCCCCTTTCTCTCTCTCTAAAAATAATCAATAGACATATCCTTGGATGGGGATAAAAAATATTTAAGTAAAAAATAAAACTAAAAGAAAATGCATTTTTAAAAAACAGCTTTGTTTTGTTTTACCATTTTTTCCCCTAACCAATTGACAAGACAAAAAAGAAAAGAAAGAGAAAGAGATAAAAAAATTAATCCCATTGTGTTCAAAAGAGTTCTTATGCATGGTTGGTGAGAGTGGGAAATAGTAATATTTATTAGAATTTTAAATGTTTAAATCTAAGCAATAACAGAGGCTTTTAACACTAAACAAAGGGTTGAATTCCTGGAGGAAGTATCATAAGCAAAAGGAATCCCACAGTTTAATTACACAGTGTTGATATATATATTTATATGTTCAGCACACTATTATTCAATAGCAGTGGCAAATAATTATAAATAACCAAACTGTAAATGAATATAGAATTTTTAATCAAATTATAATGCAGCTAAATCCTCAGCTATTATGTAGCTATTAAAAACAATAGCATATGCCTGGCTGCCATGGCTCAACGGTTGAACATCAACCTATGATCCAGGAGATCGAGGTTCAATTCCCAGTCAGGGTACATGCCCAGGTTGTGGGCTTGATCCCCAGTAGGGAGTGTGCAAGAGGCAGCTGATCAGTGACTCTCTCATCATTGTTTCTATTCTCTTTTCCCCTCCCTTCCTCTCTCTGAAATCAATAAAAACATATTTTTTTTAAAAACACAAAACAATAGTATAGCTCTACATAACAGGCTTAACATGAAACATATCACTTTAGTGTAATTCAATAGTATGATTTTGTGTGTATACACATAAAAACATCTTAAATGCCTAAATTTTAAGATTAATATAGAAAAACGTGATTGAGTATACATGACTAACTTTCTAAAATCCTTGTTTCTGCATTTTAGATGTCTGTTACAAAGAAACGACATTTGTTAATAAAGATTATGGATCTCTCAAAATACAAATGTGAAAATTTGAGATGTACAGCATGCTAAATGAAGAAAGGCAACACAAATGAAAAAATGAAAAGAAATGTTGCTAGTAGATGATTAACTCTTCTCATAAAAAAATCAAAACAAGAGGGATTCCAAGATGGCGGCAGATTAAGTGGAAGCTGCCACTCTCTCAGGACCAAACTGGAATTACAACTAAAATAGAAAAAAACTATCCTCAATAATCAACTGAAAACTAGCTGAAGAGCACCGTCATAACCAAGGACAGAAAGTGGAGACCACATAGAGACTGGTAGGAAGTGTGGAGGCACAAGAGGGTTGGCCAGGCTCCCACAGGCAGCAGCTGAAGGTCGGAAGGGATCTCTCAGCTGTGGGGGTTCCCACTGAGGACTCTGGAGTCTAAACCCCAAGCTGGGCTTCCCAGCCAAGAGCATCTGGCCTGAGAAAGGTGCCCATATAACATATGGTTCTGAAAAACAGCAGGGGGTTCTGTCTGCCAGGGAGAGATGATGGAAATGCAGACACCCTCTTAAAGGGTCAACACACAAAATTGTAATGTGCAGCCACTCACTTTGGGCTTCAGCAGAGGGAAGGAAGAGTGGACTAGAGCTGTGTGAAGAGAATCAAGTGTTAGGCGTTCTTGGGAGACAACTCGGATTC